CTGCATGAGAACTGTAAGAGCAGAGAGCTATAGGTGATGCAGCGCTATTGGTGCCACCCGCAGGAAGCGGTAGCTGGGACAAAATATGGCCAGAAGAGTGATCAGATTGCGTTTGGTAAGGAACTATTTCATTGGTTGTAGAACTTTGACATAATGTATATTCAGGATGATGATCAGCATGCCAGGTGCTGGGACCATGCCGAAAGAGAAATGGTCTGAAAACGTCGGTGCCATTTGCAATATATCCCCTTCCACAAAGCCCTCAGATCCATGCTGCAACTGCATCCAAAGCAACGCAGAGCCCTGTGCTTGTTGTACCCGGAGCTGTCGGTGCCAGGAGTTGCTGCTGTGTTAGCAAGGACGTTGTGTCAGCAGTGTGCCGTCAGTGGGGTTGTTTAATGGCAATGAAACCGCTGAATGGTGTACCTCAAGACTCAGAAAGAAGATGGTAGTGGTGACTGTGTGTCTGGGTATAGATAGCTTGATACAGATCGATAGGACTGCAGTGTGGATTGTACATAGGCCCTGCGCTGCGAGGTACGCTGTTGGGAAGCAATGTCCATCTGCCCGAGGGCAGGAAGGCCCTGCAGAGGGACGGCCTGAGGCCAGCCGTACGAGGCTGCACAGGAGCAAGCGCTGGGTCCTGCGCTGTGGTCATGACAACCGCATGGCAGCTTGTGCAGGATTGGGCTGAGGTAGAATTCCAACAGCCCGCTGATTCTAGAATGTTGGGTGCGGTGTTGGAATCTTCTGGTCCTGTGACATGGTCTTGCCTCCCCACCCTGTCGTCATGGCGGAGCAGCCTGGTGGCCCTTAGTGATGTCACAAGAGGCTGGAATGAGGGGAGGAGCAGTGCGTGCTGCGTCCCTTCATTGGAGCGCTTGAGCTCTGCGTGAGTAGCTCGCTTGTTGCCCTTGTGCAGCGACTGAGTGCCTTCGGTTTCAACCCTTGTGTCTTCTGCAGCATCTTGTAGGTAAGCTGAGACAGCGTGGGATGGACGGGTGGGCAGAGAGCTGTTGAAAACTGCTGTCTGGTGGAGCTCCTAGCAGCTCGCACTGCTTACTCTTGTCCATCAGACGTAACTTTCAGCCAGTACCTGCATTCCCAAGCGATCCACAAAGATGGCATTTGTCCCGTGGCTTTTCCCTTGTCATCTTTGCTGCATTGTGCAAGCTCACAGACCTGTTCCTTCTCTCTCCTCTATCCGCTCCCTTGGTGCAGCTTTCGCTCGTGGAAGCACAGAGCAAAGTGACAAGAAACAGCTGCGAGTTCAAGGAATTGTCTACCTTGTTCTGATCTCCTGCCAGGTACGTGCCACGCTTTGTCCCCCCACGTGGTTGACCAGCACTGTGTCGCACCATGTTTGGTAACGCAGCCTCACCCAGCGTTGATGGGACACTGGTCCCGTGTGGGTTTTTTCCCTTCCCCTGCAGCTCCGCCCTCAGGAGGATGCTGTGTGTGGTGCTGTGACCAGCTGGTCTGAAGGAAAGCAATCCCTTAGGCAAAGAGTCCTAGGCCCAGTTTGTGCTGAGCTGCACAGCGTGACCCAAGGTCACAAGCACGCACGCTTGGCCTGTGAGAGTGTGCGCGGCAGCTGTAGGGAGCAGAGCAGAGATGCGAGCAGAGGAAATCCTTGATGTGCGGGGCAGCAGCAGGTGCCGGTGGTGAGGCTGCTGGGAGCCGGGGCCGGGGAGCAGATGCGCCTGCAGCAATGATTCCTCTCACTGCCCTGCTGCTGCGCTGTCAGAGCGCCCTGGGCGAATGCATCTGCTGCTTTGTGCCAGTCCCCATCTGCTAGCAGAGGGACAGCTGCTTGGTCAAATGCCTAATGAGCTGTCCCATTTGAACGGAGTGAACAGAGTGGGTTCATCTAGAGCACCCGCCTGTGCCAGAGGATAGCCAAGGGTAGTTCTGAAGAAGTCTCTCAATAGTGTGGTGTGTGAAGAGAGAAAATATGAGCGTGTTTCTTTTCATTCCAGCTTGTCGTGCCTGCTGTGATGGGCATCGCGTGCAGCGAGATCAGCTGTGAGCCTGGCATGACACGGATGGAGGTAGAGTGTGGAGCTCTGATTGGTCTTTGTTCCCTGATTTGAGCCAGCAGAGTGAGCTGCAGATGTGCTCTCCTGCTTTTCAAGAGAGCGAATCCTTGCGGCTCTATCGGTGTCACTGAAAAGCTGCCTTCAAGGCTTTCTTTCCTTGCTGCGGGCATGTTCTTAGCCTTGCCGTTCCTTCTTGTGTGCCCATGATAAGGACGGAGTGCACTTCCTGCAGCTTTCTCTGCTGACATGCTCCTCAGCCTGAAATCCTCCTCGTTTGCCCTCAGCTCCTCACCGTGGCCTGTGCTCTCTGTTTCAGGCTGAGAACAACGGGAAGCCCCTGCTGGTCCGTGAGGAGTCATCTCTTAATATCCCAGCTATTGCTGCTGCCCACGTTATTAAGAGATACGTTGCCCAGGCACCGGGTGAACTCTCCTTGGAGGTAAGCAGTTAAGGCCGTTCCTTGTTGTCCTGTACAGAAGAGTATAACGTGTGAAGCTATCAGGAATATTCTCAGACACCTTCCGAATGTTTGGTGAGGTGAAGCTCAGAAGGTGCGGCTCCAGATTAGACTTGCACTGGGTTGGATGCAGGGAGGAGTTCAGCCATCTCTAAACTATGGCTCTATTTGGCATTGGAATCTTGTGATCCAAGAGCTACTGCCCAGTGTGGTAGCCTGGTCTCTGAGCAATGGCAGAGCAGTGTATGGAGTGTGCAGATCTGTTCAGGATCTGTTTGGCTGACTTATGCCTGCGGTTTAATTGGAGCTCTCCCTTTGGCAAAGAGCCTGCTGCTTCTGAGAACCATTTCATGCTGCACAGCTGAATTCTGTATGTTGTGTATTGGAGTGACTCTTCTACTTGCACGTTCAGTTGTACGACTGCAAATGCCTGAAGAGCTGCGCTGGTGCAATGGCTCTCAAGCTTGACGATATTGGGCAGTGCAGAAGAATGCAGTCATTTGAGCTGCGCTTTCCTCCCAGCCGTGCTGAAGCTGGGATTGACGTTGCAATCTCTTGCAGGTGGGAGACCTCGTGTGCGTCATCGAGATGCCGCCTCAGGAGCTGAGCCCGCGCTGGAGAGGCAAGCACGGCTTTCAGGTAGGCCCAAGCTTCAGACGTGAGAGCGCAACTTCGGTCGAGGCAGGAATCTCAGCTTAGAGCTGCCCTGCCTGCACAGCATGGCTCCACATGGAAAATGGTTTCCTTGTGCTGGTGTCAGAGGACTTTCCCTTTTGCTGTGGGCTTGGGCCAGAGCTGGAAGTTTGTCTTTGTAGGAAACTGCCTCCTCAGTTAACTTAGAAAGAAGAGCCCTCACAGCGTGCATCAGGTCATGGCCACTGAACCGCACCTTTGGAAATGCAGCAGCTTTTTAGGACACGTGTTTCAGTGTCTCTGAGCATCTGTGTTTGCACCCGTGCAGAACACGCATGAAGTCAGTGTCTTTAAGGAAGTTACGGCCTGTCAGCTGAGGCAGGGGGTAACAGAGCTTCTGCGTGCTTGCTGCTGCTGCTGGCTGCAGAACGCTGAGTGGCTCAGAGCTGGGGATGGCAGCTGCATCTCAGTCAGCAAGCAGAAAGTTCATAGGCTGTGCTAACTCAGATACAGATGCATCAATCTATCAAGCTTCTGTATGAAGTCTTTCCCTTCGGGCAAGCTTAAGATTTAGGGGTGCATAGCATACTTGTCCTTTCCCCTCTCCATACACAGTTTTATGGATATTTGCCTGCCAATTTGGAATAATTATTAACTTTAAGCAGGCCATTTTTTGGTTGGATTGTCTTACGGAGCATCCGGCAGGCACGTGATGAGGAAAATGTGATGTTTGAACAGTTCAGGCCTGAGAAACGCTGCCTTCAGAATCGCACCTCTCTTCTTCTTCTTGTTACAGGTTGGATTTTTCCCTGCTGAGTGTGTGGAGCTCATTAACGGAAAAATCCCGGAGTCTCTCATCAATTCAGTGCCAAAGCCAGGTACGATGAGACATTTGATGGTGCAGGGAAGCAAAATGGAGTCTTTTTTGGGTGTGTTCCGTGTTTAATACCTCCCTTATCCTTCCCCCCTTATCCTCTGTGCTGATGATCCTTCCTGCATAGCACGGGGCGTATGGCTGGTGTTTTGTAGGCAGTGAGAATGAGGGAAGGCAAAGGCAGTTCTCCTGCAAGTCAGTACGAGGCTGAGAACAGCCAGCGTCCCTGGTGGACAGATAGAGGTCTGGTTGTGCTAGTGACACGCTTGATCAGAACGTGGCTTTTCAAGAGGGTCCTTAATCCCCAGGTTGAACAAGCTAAGCAAGAGGAGTGCATTCAATTCCATCAGAACGTGCAGAGATTTGGCCCAGTCCTCCTGTGTTTATGACTGGAGTTGGGGAAATCCTAGAATCCTTGTAGGATTGCTTGGCATGGAAGGCAGCTCAAGGATCATCAAGCTCCAAGCCCCCTGCCTCAAGCTGGGCTGCCAACCAAGCTCCACGTTTAATGTGAGATGAGACCCCACTGACCAGGGCCCCGTCCAACCTGCCTTGGACTCCTCCAGCAGGGATGGGGGAAAAATCCATTTTTGTGTGTATACTTGTTGGTAATGTTCTTCCCGTTTTGACGTGCTCTGTAGAATGTGTTGTGCTCGGCCTCGTCCACCGGAGCCAAACCTGAGATGAACTGGTTTCTTCCTTTTGTTGTGCAGTGCCAAAGAAGCGCGGCAAGCTCCTCACCTTCCTTCGTTCCGTGGTGAAGGCCCGCCCAAAGCAACGGAAAGAGCAGGAGGTGGAGAAGGAGAGGGTGTTTGGCCGTGACCTGGGAGAGCATCTTCTTCACTCTGGTCGTGATGGTAAGGGACAGCCCATTCCTGAGAGCTTCCCTGTTTGGGGACCTAGAGATGAAAGGGAGATGGTATGTAGCAAGGGGCAGGCTGATACCAGTGGAGAAACGGGGAATGGGAGTTGATGGCTGAAAGATGAAGTGAGGCTAATGCTCCCAAGAGACAAGCACGTTTGTATTTGCTTCAGCCAAGCCCGGCTGGGCTTAGTGGACGGGATGTGACGGGAGCGCAGCCTGAGGCAGGACTTGACTGAGGAGCTCCAGTAACCGCCGGCACGTGTTCTTTAGTCCCCCAGGTCCTCCAGAGCTGCGCCGAGTTCATCGAGCAGCATGGCGTGGTGCAGGGGATATACCGCCTGTCCGGCGTGGCGTCCAACGTCCAGAGACTGCGGTAAGAGTGCTGCGACTGACAGACACAGGTGCCAGCAGGGGCACGTGCCCTGTTGCGGGCGTTCAGAGGCCTGCGGGCAATGCCTTAGCACAGAGAAAAGGTCTCCTTTGGGAACATCCCATCCAGCACGGCTGACGTGCTGCTGGTGGCCGAGTGTTTGTGTTCTCCTGTACATCAGGAAGCCCTTCCAACTCTTGATTGCATTGGGTGTGGCTTTTGACTTGCTTTCCTCTTTCTCAACCGCTTTCGTGTCCTTCTCTGCAGCCAGGAATTTGAGTGTGAGCAGGTTCCTGAGCTAACCGTCCGCGACGTTCACAGCGCGAGCTCCCTCTGCAAAATGTACTTCAGGGAGCTCCCGACCCCCCTGCTGACCGACCAGCTGTACGACAAGTTCTCGGTAAGCACGAGGCAACGCCTTTCCTTTCCCTCTTCGCTGGGCCTCTTGGGAGATGGCTGCAGCAGTGCCCCGGCTCTGAGGCCCTTCTTCTGTTAGCCCCATGGGGTTTACTCGCATGTCTTTGCCACATCCTGCATCGTGCTGATGCCACTTCTGGTGGTCCCCGGAGGTGGTTATTTCCATATTCATAATGCTTTGCGAGAATTCCTGCATTGTTGTTTTTTCTTGTTTTTTGTTGCTTTTTTCTTTTTCTATTCCCCAACTCTTTCTGGAACGGGAATGGGATTGATAGCCAAGGGTACTTGGAGATGAATGCCCCCTGCGAGGAGCTGAGCTGCCCAACCAGGCTGTAAACCGGCCCGGTGCTTGGACTCCTTGGCCGTGGTGGCACCAGCTGCGTGCCGCTATGTTTGCCAGATGCCTCTGGGGAGGCCTAAAATCTTTCTCAGTGCTGACCAGCAGCGCGCTGTGCCCATGGTTCCCGACCCTGCGGCAGGTATCTCGCCTGATTTGTGTCTCAATCCCTTTCTGCCCTTTTCCAGGATGCTGTTGGTGCCACTACAGAGGAGGAGCGGCTGGTCAGAATGCGGGACGTCATCCAGCAGCTGCCCGCTCCTCACTACAGGTCAGTGCTGCCCTCAGCCTGCTGAGCTCAGCCCTGCTGCACTTCAGAGGGCAATGGTGCGATTCCAGGCTTTGTCTCACGTGAGCAACACGATGCCTGGGTATGTTGAAGCGGTTGAAGGCTCTGCGGGGTTAATTTGTGGGGTGAGTTCCTGGGCACGGGAGCACGCTTGGTGCAGCTGATGGCTGTGGCTGTGCTGTGCTGGTGCTGGGTGCTGCAGCGTGGCACTTGGTCAAGTTGGGTCTACTTCATCTTCAGCGACAGTAGCAGTAATAACAACTAGTGTGAATTGAGGTTTGCTTTGTGAGTGGCAGCACGGCATGCTGGCTGGTGCTGAACATTTGCCTCTCTTGTTTCCCAGGACCCTGGCGTATCTGATGAGACACTTGGCCTGTCTGTCTGCGAACAGCTCTGTCACCAACATGCATGCTAAGAACTTAGCCATTGTGTGGGCTTCAAACCTCCTAAGGTAAACTTCTTTTTCCATTTCTACAGAACGCTTACATCTGTTCTCCAGTAGAATAAAGCAGTCCTCCCTTCTTCTGCACCACATCTGCTCTTCTCCTGTAAAATGTGCAGTGAGTGGCTGACAGCAGAGCAGGAGCCTGGACTGTTCTCCAACCCCGCGTGGGCACAATTTCTAGCTGAGCATTGCTGCTCTCTTGTTTAGATGGGACTGGTGTGTCCTTGATCAGCCAGGAGAACTTCTTCAGTGGCATCACTGATTGCCTACTGCGGAAGTCTCCAGAACCCAGTTTGACAGCTTTGGGCTGCAACAGTTCAGACTCGGGGAAGCGATCTTGGCTGAATGACTTCTAAAACCTGCCTTTTCTACAGATCACAGCAGAGCGAGTCTGCCTGCGCCAGCGGGAGAGCTGCCTGCACGGAACTGCAGACGCAGTCGGCTGTGGTGGAATTCATCATCGACCACACAGACGTCCTCTTCTGCTCCACATCCGGATCGGACATTGCAGATGGAGCAGGTGAGTGTCTTCCTCCATTAGCTTTGTCTTGGTCAGACACCTGGATCAAATGCAGGCCTTCTCCAAGTCCTTTGAAATACACTTTTCCTGTTGAGGGGACAGCAGACTTCTGGGCTTAGATTGGAATCTGGCATCCAGTTGCTGGATGCTGAGAGTGTGCAAGCCCAAACTTGACAAGGAGAAAAAACCATCACTGTCATTATGATGTTTTGCAAGCAGGTGAAGCTTGATTAACGTGTGGCAGCGGAGCTTTCTCAGTTCCCTGCCCCCATTTTCTAGGGTTTTTGTTTGCCTGTTTCGATACAGGGAGCTGCTCTTAATGATGACTGCGTCCTTTGCCATAGACACACCTCTGAGCACATGGTTGTTTTGAGCTGCTCTTCTTCCAGTGGCCCGGTTAAGCAAGTCTGAGGAAAACACAGCAGCTCCCCCGGACCTGCGATGGCTGTGCTGCCGCTTTCTGATCCTGGCTCTCACCTGTGGTTTTCCCTTCCAGGGCACAGCTCTCTCTCAGGGCCCCAGTCTGTGCAGGCGTCTTCTCCTGCCACAGAGCTGCTCAGCCTGGAGGAGGCGCAGGCACGGAGGCGAGGCCACAGCAGCTCTCCTGTCGTTGTGACAGAGAGCAGGGACATAGAGGTGGAAGAAGGCCCCACAGCTGTACGGGGGAAATTCCACACAGTCATCGACTTTCCACCTGAAAGGTAAAGAGGACTTTGTTTTCCAGCAGCTATCATCACTGTTTGGGTGGGTTGTGTTTGTTCTGTCTCCATTATTTCTAGTGCCTAAACTTGTGGAAATTAGATTTAATGAATGGTGCCTGAAGTGTTGCAGTGAATCTCCCCTCCCTTTGGACTGTGAGATTCAACTAACATTGAGTTGCCCGCCGGGCTCAGTTTAGCCTCACAACGGTGCCGTTCCTTCCTTGCTGGGCAGGCAGTGACGAGATGCACAAAGCCACGCTGACGTCTACCCTGGCCTGTGCTGGCTGTACCTGGAAAGGTTGGGGTTTTCCAGATTTCAGAGCCTCGTGCCTGAATCCAGTTCTGGTTCTCCTCTACGCAGAGCTGTTGGTCAGACCTGCTGACACTAGAAACTAGACATGGCAGTGAAATGGGCTGATGAGCTGTCAGTGTCAGAGTCAGAGATGCTTTTGAAGTTCCTTTATGGCTGTGCAATTGCTCAACCAGCAGTTATGCCTGCCTACTCAATCAAAGCCACCCTTTGATGCTGTCCTGTACAGGTGTGGAGCCTGTGGACCTCACATGCTCTGCATCTTGCTTGACACAGTTGAGGGGAATTTAGCCAGCAAGACTTCAGGGCTGAGCTATAGGAATGGAACCATCCTCAACTGCTTGAAATGGAGCGAGTTTCTAAGCTGTGTTTCAGCAGGAACCAGGCGGTGCTAGGAACAAGCAACTGTTGGCACGAGCTCAGTGCAGCTCTTCCCTCACCCTGCGCCACGCACGACTCCCACCATTCCCTGTTTTCTCTCTCCAGACCAAGTCCACCCAGCAAGATAAAGGAATCACCAGCTGGCTGTTGGTGTTCCTGCTTCAGCCTGGGGAAACCATCGTCTGGGGCCAAACGCCAGCCACAGCACCATCCCAGGGAGCCCTCAGAAATAGAAATCGTAGTGCTGGCAGGTAAGGGTGCAAATCCAGCTTTCAACGCCTTGCTTTTCAGCAACATAGAATTCTTGCTGTCAGTGGGCTTGTATCTACTTCCAGCGTTCCAACCCATACCTAACACCTTTAGTTCTCCCCTGATCAAGAACCCCTTTTGTAATTCAGCTTGTGAAAGTTTGGCACTAACCCCTGTGTATCCTTCCTAGATGTACTGAGCCCTTGTCCACCCAGAAGAGCCGGAGAAAGTAGCGAAGCTGGGCTGTGTGCTTCCACCAATGGAGAGCTCTTGGGAAGCACAAATGGCTGCGGATCACGTGACAGCCTTGCACGTAGCAACAGTGATGGAGAGAGGGAGCTCATCCAAGTTGAAGCCCTCATTTCTCCCGGCTGTGCTGAAGATGCTGACCTGTGCCCACCAGGCACCGCAGTCACCAGCCTGGACTGTGACCCGGCACCTTTGCAGTGCAGCCCAGCCCAAGTACAGTCCGAGTGCCCGGACAGCAACACCTCTGTGCAGGAGCAGGTCAGCATCAGCGAGGAGGAGCAGCAGAGCCTCTTGGAGGGGGGCGTACAATCAGGCCTCCAGTCCCAGGCACCGTGCAGCATCTCTGAGAGCTCTGAGCCACTCTCTACGTGATCTTTCCATCCAAGAGAGGACGATTCCCATCTTTACCTGGACCTCTCACGCCCTCCTGTGTTTTCCTTTAATAATAAAAGCGCACTTATACTCACTCAACGCCTTGAGTGCCTGTGGAGTCTTCATTCACGAGGACTGGGATGAATGCGGCACACAGCAAGGCACCTCTGCTGGCAACGCTGAGGCTGCAGGGTGCATGAAGCAGAGCTCTGGGTTATTTCCCATTCTGTCTGGCTTTGGGATGTCTGCAGGTCCCAGTTGGGACGGTAGCAAATAATCTCTAGCATCCTGGATTGTGCTCGTGGTGACCCCAAACTTCCTGGCGGTGGCTTTGTGATGCCTTTCAGGGCTTTTGGATGCACTGTGATGCCTTGGCTGCTCCCTAGCACCTCTCTCCTCCGGCCGCGTCCATTCCTTGAAGGAATCAGCAGCTGGCTGTTGGTGTTCCTGTTTCAGCCTGGGAAAACCATCTTCTGTGGCCAAACGCCAACTGCAGTGCAATGCCAGGGAGCCTGCAGAAATGCAAGTCGTAGTGCTGGCAGGTAAGAGTGCAAATCCTGCTTCCAAAGCTCTGCTTTCCAGCAACATAGAATGCATGCTGTCACTGGGCTTGATTGCCCTTCTAGCGTTCCAGCCCATACCTGACACCTTCAGTTCTCCCCTGATCAAGAACCACTTTTGTAATTCAGCCTGGGAGAGTTTGACACCAACCCCTGTTCATTCTTTTATAGGTGATTCGTGCTCTTGTCAACCGAGCAGAGCCAGAGCATGTAGTGATGCTGGGCTGTGTGCTTCCACCAATGGAGAGCTGTTGGGAAGCACAAATGGCTGCGGTTCAGCCTACAGCCTGCCGCATACCAACAGTGATGGAAAGAAGGAGCTGATCCAAGTTGAAGCCCTCATTTCTCCCGGCTGACACAAAACTGGGCAGAGTGGCTGACACAGCAAAAGGCTGTGCTGCCTTCCAGCGAGACCTGGAGAGTTGGGTGGGGAGAAACGGAATGAGAAAGAACAAGGGCAGGTGTGGAGTCTTGCATCTGGGCAAGAGCAACCTGAGTACCAGTATAGGTTGGGGGCTGAGCTCTTGGAGAGCAGCGTAGGAGAAAGGGATCAGGGGATCCTGGTGGGCGGTAGGAGGAGCATGAGCCAGCACTGTGCTCTCGTGGCCAAGAGGGCATCGTGGGGTGTATGAGGAAGAGTACGGATAGGAGGTGGAGAGGTGCTCTTTCCCCTCTACTCTGCCCTGATGAGTGGAGCATCTCCCTGTGAGGAAAGGCTGAGAAAGCTGGGTCTCTTTAGCTTGGAGGAGACTGAGGGGTGACCTCGTTGATGTTTATAAATGTGTGAATAGTGAGCGTGAGGAGGATGAAGGCAAGCTCTTCTCAGTGGCATCCAGTGATAGGACAAGGGGCAATGTGTGCAAGCTGGAGCATAGGGGGTCCCACATAAATAAGAGGAACAACTTCTTCACGGCAAGGGTAACAGAACACTGGGATGGGCTGCCCAAAGAGGTTGTGGGATCTCCTGTGGAGACATTCAGCAGCTACCTGGACATGTTCCTGTGTGCCCTAATCTAGGTGATCCTGCCCCAGCAGGGGGATTGGACGAGGTGATCTTTGGAGGTCCCTTCCAATTCCTGACATTCTGTGATTCTGTGCAAAGTTGGTTCACGGTAGTACTTTTGCTGCTGGGAAATAGGAGCGCTGATCTTTGGGGTAAGTTCAGCAAGGTGGACTCCCCTAAGCTGATACTGACTTCATCCTATAGCGTTGACTTCTGTCGTGATTTATTCCATGCCAGAAGTTCCGGATGCTGTCAGGAGTTATTCAAGCCCATTGGTGTTAATTTGACCCTGGACTGGCTGCTGCTTGACATGCTGTCTGCACAGAGGTAACACATGCATTAATTTGTTTCCTGTCCTCTGCTGTTTTGTCTCTTGTTTTTAGTTAATGCTGAAAACCCACCTACGGCTGTGGTTGGGAAATTGGTTCACTTGCTCGATCGGACCCAGATTTTCAGGAGGAGCTGGAGCTAATGAAACTGTGTGAGGAAGCTGTGACCTTGATCCGATCTAATCAACAGCTTGAAAATGACCTCAATCTCATGGACCTCAAGATTGGACTGCTAGTGAAGAACAGAATGACACTGCAGGTAGGAAATGCAGTGCTGGGAGACGAGCAGAGTGAATTGAGGCCAATGGCAGTTAGCATGAGGACCTTCTGAGCCTGGATCTCACTTACTCAGATGCAGTGGGAAGTATTTCCTTCAGAGTTACAGGTTTTCCTCCCAGTAAGTTCCTAACTGTTCCACTTATTACTATGTATCCCTAGAAAGAGAACTGCAGCAGAAACATCAAGGCTTCAAGTGTTTTAAAAACAAAGCACCAGAAAAAAACCCACTCGGGACCAAGGGAAAGCAATAGATGGTATGCTTGAAGGCTCTGAGAACTGTTTGTCTCTTCACTTGTGGTTACGTGAGTCATGGACTTGCACACCTTAATTTCTTCTCACGTTTTGTGTGCTGTATCAGAAGGGGGAGGTGATTTTGGAGCAGGAAATGTGCTCAGACTGCTTGGTGTTGGTTGGCTGATGGAAGCCCCCTCTGTCACTTTGCTGACGATTGATTGCACACAAGAACAACGTTGCTGATACAGCGGTGCCTTTTTTTAACTCAAGCTGAAGTTACAGTCACCTTTTGCTTTGGTCCTGAATAGCGTGGCGCTAGGCTTGACCTTGTGTAGAATCTGAACCATGGCAGCAGTGAAGTTCAGTTCCAAAGGAGGCTCCAGCTCTTGGGCTGATGCTGGCAGCAAAAAGTATCATAGTTATCAGAGCAGTGGAGGCAGGGAGTCAGCAAAATGGAAACAGGGCTTGGGGCTTCAAGCACAGTTGAGAAAGAAAGGCATTTTCAAGCATCTTCAGAACGCTACCAGCTGTGACAGTAGTCCCTGCTCAAAGCAATTAGTCCTTGTAGGTTCTCACCCAATTCTGGAATGTGGGGACAAGACAGAAATCGCTGCTACAACAGATAATGTTTCACTTCATGATCTCCTGATGTACCTTGACTGCCTTATCCACCCAAAAGGAAGTGCTATCGTGCAGCTTTTTCCCATATTGCGTGTTATTTAAATGTGGAATCTGTCCCTCTGTGTTCTTTGCAGGATGTTGTTTCTCATAGCAAAAATCTTAGCAAGGAGAACGAGGAACAGCTCTGTGACGTGATGACGCTGAACGAGCAAAAGGCAGCTTTGAAAGCTTTGAGCAAAGAGGAGAGGGAAAAGCTGGAAGCCTATCAGCATCTTTTCTACTTGAGGTATGCAGCTTTTCATTCACTGCTCTTGTCATAGATGCTTACGTGTATTGGAACAGTCTGTACTTCTGCACTGCAGTGTTGAGGCGCTGTCTGTCTTTGTGGTGTTGGCTTTTGTGGACACGTGCTGTATGGGAACTGCTGAGTCATGGCCTGAACCTCTGATTGATCACCTGAGGCGAGCAGTGAGTCAGGCAGAGGAGCACAGGTGAAGGCAATGCAGCTGTGCTGCTGGAAGGGGTGCAGCCAGGCTACAGCCCTCCTAGACCTGTTTAAGAGCTGGCTGCCAGTGGGGAAGGATCTCGTCTGGAGATCTGCTCTGCTGGAGTTTTGTAAGTGAGCCCAGGATAGGGGTAAGCCTTCTATTCATTCTCCTTTTGTTAGCTTAGTCTGCTTTGTCAAACTCTTTTGTTTATTTCATAATGACAACATCTTAATAGTCATTGATTATACACGTGCACTAAGTACTTTTTCTTCTTGTTTTAGACTACTCCAACGTACTTGGCCAAGCTGCTTTTGCAGATGCCTCAAAACAACCCCACAGAGTTCATGGATTCAGCCATCTTCACGCTGCATAACTACGCATCCAGTCAGAGAGAGGAATCTCTGCTGTTGCGGCTGTTGCAAACAGCATTGCAGGAAGAGATCAAGTACGTTGTAGCATAGGACACAGCCTTGCTGTTGCCTGAGTTTGGGCCGCTGCTAAAATTGCAGCTGTTGTTGTGTGATGTCCCGTGCTCATTAGCTGATAATGCTGAACTGTCCCTGCCTTCTGCTCATGCTGTTTCACGTCAGTCCTTTCTGTAACCTGGAAGGAGGAGGAATTACCTTTGTTCTTTAGGATTAAAGCCATTTTTCTTTAGCCAGTGCTTTCTTGCTCAGGGAGGCACTGTTTTTGATCTACTGCAGTGCTTTCCTAAGATTCATTCCCATCTAAGTTCTCTGCTGTCTAGTAAGAAGGACTTGGCACAGACTGCGAGCTTGGGCTTTACAGGCCAGAGTGAAGCTGACGCGAAGGTCACTGTTTTCCAAAACTGATGAGGAGGCTGAAAATCAGATGCTGTCTGGTTTGGGTTTTTTCCTGGCTGTCAGGCTTAAGGATTCTGGCTGTCTGTCGGCATAATTGAGTTGATTGGCACTTAGGAGTTTGGTGTTTATGACTTCTGGCTGATACGGAGCTTCACAACTTGCTAGGAATAGCAAATACATGTAATGTTGGAGGCAGTCATGCCTTTTTTGATGTTTTTAAGTATGAGGATGGTATGTGCCCTCCAACAGGTAACGCCTAAAAGGTTTGTTTAATTATTATTATCTTTTCTTGGAGTAGTAGTTCAGGAAAGTGCATGTCTATGCTTTATTCTCTGCTGCTGGATTTCCCATAGCGGCATGCTGTGAATGGCTCTTGTTGCTGATTGCTTACTTGTTGAAATACTGAGAGGAAATAGTTGTGCCTGTGTAGAACTCCCTTTGTTTCCTCTGTATTTTTGAGATGCGCTCTTTCAACCGTGGTGCCCGTGGTCAGAACGCACTGAGGCAGATCTTGGCCCCAGTTGTGAAGGAAATAATTGAGGGCGAATCGCTCAACGTCAGAACGGATCCAGTGGATATTTACAAGTGCTGGGTGAACCAGATGGGATCTCAGAATGGTGAGGCCGGGTATGGAAGCTGTTGCTACTGTTTTTTTCTGAAAGTTGCTCAGCTGCTTTGCATTGCTCTGTTAATCGTTCCGAACCATCCCTGTATTCATTGCATGCATCTGTCCAATTGCTACCAGCTTTTTTCCATCAGCTCGAGATGGCTTTCTTCTGAAAGGTATAAAGATCACAGAATTGTAGGGGTTTTAAGGGACCTCCAGAGATCATCGAGTCCAACCCCCCTGCCAAAGCAGGTTCCCTACAGCAGGTCGCACAGGTAGGCATCCAGGCAGGTTTTGAACATCTGCAGAGAAGGAGACTCCACCACCTCCCTGGGCAGCCTGTTCCAGTGCTCCGTCACCCTCACTGTAAAGAAGTTCTTGCGCATGTTTGTGCGGAACTTCCTATGCTGCAGTTTCCAGCCGTTTCCCCTTGTCCTGTCTCCACTCACCACTGAAAACAGTCCGGCCTCACCATTCTGCCCCCCACACCTTAGATATTTATAGACCTGGATCAGGTCCCCTCTCAGTCTTCTTTTCTCAAGGCTGAACAGACCCAGTTCACTCAGCCTTTCCTCATAGGAGAGATGCTCCAGGCCCTTCACCATCTTCGTGGCCCTCCGCTGGACTCTTTCCAAGAGATCCCTGTCTTATTTGTACTGGGGAGCCCAGAACTGGACGCAGTAGATCATCTTGTGACAGGGGTGTTGAGACTATGAGAAGTGAATCTCATGAAGAGATAGGCCAAAAAAAGCCCCAAAGCATTTCTTCTGTGTTAACTCATAGGTACAGATACCGTAGCTCTTACTCTACCAAGCCAATCTCTGCCCACAACTCGGGCAGGCTGCCCAAGGAGGCTGTGGATGCCCCATCCCTGGAGGCATTCAAGGCCTGGCTGGATGTGGCTCTGGGCAGCCTGGGCTGCTGGTTGGTGAACCTGCACGCAGCGGGGGGTTGGAACGAGATGAGCATTGTGCTCCTTCTCAACACAGGCCGTGTGCATAGAATCACAGCATGCAGCTGTTCCTGTCTGCCCATGAGAAGGTTTCATCCACGTGGTCATCCTGGTTGGTTGGCCTGTAGATCCCCCGCTACGTCATCTGTCCCTGTCCTCCCTTTAATCTGTGTCTATAAAGTCTTGATGGGCTCCCATCCGTCCCCAGTCAGAGTTCTGTGTTTCTTCCAGTGCTTGATGTTGACCAGATTTTGAGGATTCTGTTGTTGGTTGTATTTGTTTTGTTTTTAAGGCACTTCAAGGGAAGTGGTGGAAAAGCAATGCTATGAAGTAAAAGACAACTGTCCCAGCGCAGCACGCTGCGTGAGTTACTATCTTAACACTGCAATGTGCAGCTTGTGTTCTCACTGATTTATTTGCGACCTGAGGTACTACTGCGTATCGCAGGTGACCTTCTTGACTGTAGAGAGCATGTCTGCATGTGGTACAGAAAGATACAGTTCAGAGTTAGCTGGGCCTGTTCTCACAGCGACTGCTGCAGGGACAGCAGAGGACGTGAGAAGTCCTTTGCTCTTTCAGTGCTAGCATTGTAATGAAAGTGAAAGCGTGCAGCTCTTTGCAGCCAGGTGAGCGTGGATCTGTTTGTGTGTCAAGCCAACAATTCTGCCTGGCACTGACAAAAGTATATTAGGCTGAGGAGTGCTCACCTTCACATCTGACTTTTCCAAATAGCAAGTTGCCGTACGATGTTACACCTGAACAAGCTCTTAATCACGGTGAGGTGAGGACGCACCTGGATGCCTCAATCCGAGATGTGAAGGCAGTGACAGACAAGTTCCTGTCTGCCATCGTTGTTCAGCTGACCAAATCCCGTAAGTCTGGTGTGTCACCGCGTTATCCTGCAGCAGTTAATAGTGGGTTCATCCGTGAGGAATTCTCACTTGCCTTTTATTTCCTTTGAAGTTACGGGATGCGTTTCATCGCCAAGGTACTGAAAGACTCCCGGCATGACAAGTTTCCTGATGCTGGCGAGGATGAGCTTCTGAAGGTAAGGAGCTGAGCAGCTCTGTGAATCATTGTCTGCCACGCTGACTGCAGCAGATGCATCTCAGTGTTGTTTGTTGGCTGTACGTGTGCAGAGAAGTTTCAAAGCTGCAGTTTAAGTAGACAGGCTATTTGTTGTTATGGGTATAAAGTACTTTGCCCTGTGCTTTGGATTGCTGGATACATGTTTGTCAAAGGAGACATACTACAGCGTTCAGAAGAAGTCACCCTATTGCTTTTCCTTTTGCTTTTAATATCTTGGGCATTGTGCCCCCTAGGTTTCTTGGCTTTGGGATGCTCTTGCTGCTGAATGGTGCACCTTGGTTTTGCTGGTGTTATCTGAGTCAGTTGCTCTTTTTTTAAAGAGACAGTGTGCCAAGTTGAAAAGGCCCGCTTGCAGAATTCTACTCTTCTCACTTCCCTTACAATATTCTAGGGCATTACAGTAGCTGCAACAAAGTATATGGTGTCATTTTTCATGAGGTATGGGCAGTTTTGTGTTGTACATTTCCGTACTTTGGAGAACGAAAAGGATGTTAGTAGTAAATGCTTCCAAATGAGCACAGCATTGTGGCTTTCATTGGGATTGTCCATTGGCCATGGCAGTGAGATGGGGCCGATGAGCTGTCAGAGTCAGAGATGCTTTTGGAGTTCCACGCACGACTCCCACCATTCCCTGTTTCCTCTCTCCAGACCAAGTGCACCCAGCAGGATGAAGGAATCACCATCTGGCTGTTGCTGTTCCTGCTTCAGCCTGGGGAAACCATCCTCTGTGGCCAAAGACCAACGGCAGCACCATCCCAGGGAGCCCTCAGAGACAGACGTTGTAGTGCTGGCAGGTAAGGGTGCAAATCCAGCTTTCAACACCCTGCTTCTCAGCAACGTAGAATTCTTGCTGGCAGTGGGCTTGTATCTCCTTCTAGCTATCCAGCCCATACCTAGCACCTTCAGATCTCCCCTGATCAAGAACCACGTTTGTAATTCAGCTTGTGAGAGTTGGACACCAACCCCTGTTCATTCTTTTATAGGTGATTCGAGCTCTTGTCAACCCAGATGTGCCAGAACAAGTAGCAATGCTGGGCTGTGTGCTTCCACCAATGGAGAGCTCTTGGGAAGCACAAATGGCTGCGGTTCAGCTGACAGCCTGCCGCATAACAACAGTGATGGACACGAGGAGCTCATCCAAGTTGAAGCCCTCATTTCTCCCGGCTGTGCTGAAGATGCTGACCTGAGCCTGCCAGACACCACAGGCATCAGCCTGGACTGTGACCCGGTGCCTCTGCAGTGCAGCCCAGCCCAAGCAGAGCCCGAGTGCTCCGACAGCAGCACCGCCTTTGAGGAGAAGGTCAGCATCAGCGAGGAGCAGCAGAGCCTTTTGGAGGGGAGCTTAGAATCAGGCCTCCAGTCCCAGGCACCGGACGTCAACACTGACAGCGCTGAGCCACTCTGTCCATGAGCTTTCCACCCAAGAGAGGACGATTTCCATCTTTACCTGGACCTCTCACGCCCTGCTGTCTTTTCCTTTACTAATAAAAGCACACTTATACTCACTCAACACCTTGAGTGCCTGTGGAGTCTTCATTCAAGGAGACTGGGATGAATGCAACACACAGTAAGGCACCTCAGCTTGCAACGTGATGGCTGTGGAGTGCGTGCAGCAGAGCTTCTCGTTTGTTCCTGCTTTGTCTGCAGCGAGAGCTCTGCCTACGATTTGGTGTGGCAGCTGACAATCTCTAGCATTCTGGATATGGCTAATGATAATCCCAAGAATCAAGAATCACACAAGGTTGGAAACGACCTCTAAGATCATCCAGTCCAACCGTCTCCTCATCACCATTGCCACCACTAGCACTAAACCATATCACGCAAGCTTCCTGGCTGTGGCTTTGTGATGCTTTCCAGGGCTTTTGGATGCGTTTTGACACCTTGGCTGCTCCCTAGCACCTTGCTCCTGCAGCTGCGTTGGCTCCTGGCTCCCACTTACAAGCTGGCCATGCAGATCATCTCCACATCTGCCAGCACCGCGCTGAGGCACGAGGAGCTCACCCTGACCAGCAGCCGCCCCGCCCCCCGGTCTGTCATTGGTCCGCGGCAGCGCCGCTCCACCCCCGGGCTCTCGTCGGTCCGCGGCAGCGCCGCCGGCTGCCATTGGCTGAGGCGCCGTGCGCGGGAGCGAACGTTGGGGGCCGGCTGTTGGAGGCGCGGCTCTCGTCGCAGAGCGCCGCTGCAGCCGCCTGTGCCGCCCCGTAGGAGACCGCGGCGGCAGCCGGAGCTGTCCGGGCGGCACCGAGAGAGAAGCCGCGGCAGCTCGGGAGCGAGTGCTGAGGACAGCTGTGCCGGAGGTGAGCGGGAGAGCGGTGCCGGGGCGGGGAGAGGGGCTGTGGGGGCTCTAGGAAGCTGCGGGGAGGCGACGGGTGGCGGGGGGGGGGGGGGAGGGATATAGCGAGATGTGAGGCTGTAGGCGCCTGTGAGGGGATGTAGGGGTTATGGGGAGCTGTTGGGGGTGAGAGTCAGATACGGGGCTCTAAGGGTGGTGTATAGGGAGATAGGGGGCTGTGGTGGGCCATAGGGTCATAGGGGACTATTGGGGGCTGTGGGGAGCTGTAGGGAGGAAGGAATATGAAGCTGTAGTGCATTGTGGGGGGACTGTAGGCGTGGGTATGTGGATTTGTATAAGAAATGAAGCCTCTGTTCTGGGCTGCATTGCAAAAGGGGTGACCAGCAGGGAGAGGGAGGTGATTGTCCCCATCGACTCAGCTCCTTTGAGGCCTCATGTGCAGCACTGGAAAAGGGAAACAGGGAGAATGGTTTCAACATAATTGAAAACAGCCTTCACAGAAAGCAGGTGGCACCTATTGACTGGTACAAGATCCAAGAGAAATTAATGAAATGGTTCTTAAGTGACACCCCCTGCTTCCTAAGCCCTGTAATGTAATGAGTCAAATCCCACACAGACACAAATGGTTCAGTGTAACAGACCTCAAAGATGCTTTTGGGACCTGCGTTTTAGACTCAGACACTCGAGATCTTTTTGCCGTTGTACGAGAGGATCCAAAACTGCGACAAAAATAGCAAGAGAGGTGGATTGCTTTACCCCAGGGGTTCATAGAATCGCCTAATTTATTGTATTTTATGTGTTTATATTATGATAGATATTATCTATTGTGTTATTATGTTTTATTTTATATACGTTATATATTTTATATTTTATTTTTGTTTTAACTAACGAAATGCTGGAGAAAGTTTTGGAGAAGTTTCAGGTTGAAGAGGAGGTGAAGCTGTTTCAGTATGTAGATGATTTGCTGAGTTGTGGAAAAGAGGAGTCTAAAGTAAAGGAGACTGCAAGTGAAATTGTGAAGTCGTTACTTGTACTGTATGTCTGCAGTGCATTACTTTTTGAAAGGGTGCACCCAAGCAGAGATGTAAGGGATCGTGTGCCTTCAGACCCTAGAAAAATGTGTCCAGTTTCAGCAAACCAGGTCTTGGGCACTGTGGTGGATGCACCTGTCCGTAATGGGTGTAACATGCTGTGACTTGATTGCATTACTGTGACTAATTGAAGTGCCTGAAGGAAAGGCTGTTTTCTTCTGTTTGTTGATTCCCTTTGCTGAGCTATTTGCACTGAATGAGCTGATGTTGTTGTTGCTGTGGGGTGTGATCAGCAGGATGGGAAAGCGCAGTGTTGGTGTTCACATGAGGTTATAGCAGGGCTATGTCAGACTGTCGTGGATGTTCTTCAAGTAGTTTGAGGCTACTGGAACATGGAAAAGAATCCTGACAGCTGGCTCTGTCTTCTGTCGAGCTCTTCAAAATACTGCTTGAGATAACAGCAGATGAGATGAAATGCGGAGCAGCATGGGACTTGTGTCTGCCTTCAATAATTCTTTTCCTAGGCAGTTTGTGTTAAATTTTGTTCCATGGACTGTGACAGAAATCTGGGTTGCTCCGTGAGGTGTTAAAACTAGCTGACCTGTTGACTACTGACATAAGGCTTACTTGATTTGAGCTATGGAACTTTCAGCTTGTTTTGTCATGGCTGTTTCTAGGTATCAGATAGCAAATAAAACGTAGATCACAGTGGCTGGATTTTTTTTACTCAGGTGCTTCTGACACCATGCAAAACTCTCTTGTGGAGAAAGTTCCAGAAGCTTTCAGTGTTTAATTCTGGCTGTACAATAGCAATTAGTTCGATTTAGAACACATGAAAAGAAAGCTGATAGGGATCTGGTTACAGGTGGTTGAAATGACAAGAGGGAGATGGTGCAGGTGTAGGAACTAGGAGGTTGCCTTCCAAGTGCCTTCCTGGTTCTCCGTGCTGCTTGATGTTTATTTTCCCATTGGTGCTGTGTTCAAGTGCAAGCACTGTAGGGTGTAGAGAACACTGTAGAATGCCTGGTACTGCCCCGACCAGTCATAGATACTGGAAGGAAAAGTTGTGATGAACTACCGATGGAAAACATGGACAGTTTTGAGGCTTCTTCTTGGCAGAAGTTGGTGAGACAGTCCTCTGATAATCAGACAACAGGTAAACTGGTTTAAAGATGAGTCTTACTTTAAAGAGGGCCTTGTGTAGTCTGGTTGTTTACAGTAATGCAGGACTAGTTGGGTAAATAACTGATTGGAAAACCTATAAGGGAATGAAGTTGTTTTTTTTAGGTTAGGTTCTTACTATTGAATGCAGCACAAGTGCTTGCATGACTGGGAGCCCAACTGTCTGCCTCCGTTGTTGTCATGCTGCCTCTTTGATGTGCTGCTTCTTCAAACTGCTGGGGCTGGCAGCAGCGAGCAGAACTAATGCAGCAATTAGAATGGGTGATGCAGAGAAGACTGTGGCAGAAATGATGAAGCCAGAGGCCCAGCTAGCAGAGGTTTATGCATTTGCTGCCGATCTTTATCCCAAGGAGCTGGCCGCCTTGCAGCAACAAAGCCATGATGTCAGTGATGCCTTCTGATGTCTGTGAATTGATATGGATCACCAAATCTGCCTTGTCTGTTTCACTAAAC